ATATAGTTAAAGTACTGAATTTCACTCCATGACTTACAACTACAGAATATGGGGTTTTTTTTATGATTGTGTACCAAACAAAAAAAATTACTTTCTTGGCTCATTTGCATCAAGCCACCTAATATAATTCACAAAGATTATTTGATATTGGATTCTCATACAGATACTGTAAGGTCATGCCTGCCCACCAACCCATCAAGGTAGTGTTGAAAGCTGCAGTTAGGTCTATTGTATATAGTTAGATTACTGGGCCCAGTTATTCAAAAGCTGATTAGCGCTAACCCAAGGTTAAAACTTTAATCTTTTAGTTTCTTTATTCCTTTACTCAAAAAGCCTTTTTGAGTTAATGTCCTGTGTTCTTTTTAGAGCATCAAAGGGTCATATTTTAGACAATAAGAATTTGACCAAATTTTCTTTTAAAGCTATCAGATCTGAAATCAGATTTTACCCTGACCCTGGGTTATCTTAACCCAGCTTTGAACAACCCAGCCCTGAATTTCACTTTATGACTTACAACTACAGAATATGGGGCTTTTTTATGATTATGTACCAAACAAAAAAGAAAGCTTGCTTGGCTCATTTGGATCAAGCCACCTAATATAATGCAATCAATGTCTTGTTTTCCATATCCTGGGTCATTACTCAGTTAGAATTGATATTTAAATCTTAATTATAATCATTTAAATGTAACTGAATGTATTCCTTTTATTACTTTTCCACTGACTGCCAAACCAGCAAGCCTTGAGGCATTAAACAGTGAGGACTTTTAACAAGGCCCGTTGTATACTTGTAGCTGCTTTGGTGAAACTTAATGTTTGCAAGCCTATAAGCTTAGAAGTTGACCCACTTCTAAAGAACAACTCGGAGTCTTGTAAAGGAATCAAAACACCTTGTGAATTTGAAGACGGGATGGCGTTCACCGACTCAGGAGATCGAGTAAATGTTCTGAGTAAAACGTTAAAACCTTGATGGGCTCTGGTTATGAAGGAGCAAGTGATGGAACGGATGAAACGTGTCCTTTTGCGCAAGTTCATGGCATCTGTTCTATGGAGAAGATTCTATTCGTATCGGATGTTGCTACAGGTTGCATTAAACTATTATCGGGACTCAGTGGTACTGTGTCGTTCTTACAAGTCCATGGAAGTATCTATAACAGTTTTGTTATCAGAGCCCAAAGCATAGAGAAAGCACACATCTCTTGAAGATGCCGTAGACAAAGTATCCCATGGGGATTATTCAACAATGTTCACTAAACCTGAAGTGAATAATTGTTTGAGTTTAACTGCGAAAGCGCTCTTGAATTCCATAGTCAAATTCGTTTTATTCTTGAAACCATTCCATTGCAATAGTTAGGATTAATCGCATCAGGATAAACCGCCAGCATCCACTCCATTCACATCTTTCTTCTAAAAAGTGTGATGCAAACCTTAATAGCATATTTTGCGCTCTTTAAAATTGTATTTCTTCCACTGCGTTTATCAATGTATCATGTCAATGATCAAGGAACGATATATTAGCATCCTAAGTTTAATTAAAGTTCTGTTCAGCAGTAGGCAAGAGAGGTCTTTGCTTTTGGTCCTCGTACCATGGATAGAAAAATATGCAACACCTCAAACATTTCTCAATCGAAGAAGAGCAAATCTCACAAACTGAGAGAAAATGGCGAATATGATCAATATGGACATTAACGCTGGGACAAATGCCAAGGCACACACCTCAAACCTCTCCAGACCTTTCAGATAAGCCCCGCTAGGCCCGTCAGTCGTGATACCAAATGATAATGTAGTAGCTTTGGTCAGATTGATGATAACAACGAGAGATAAGGTCACAAGAAAAAATGTTTCAGCATCATTCGCTATGGGATGTCGACAAGGATTCTTCAAAACATGATAGAGGGTTATCAGCAAGCATGCAGCAGATAGGAAGACCATGCGTAACATGACATCTGTGACGAACGCCCCACAAGCGAGGAGAACGAATCTTCGACCAATCAAAACGCTCTCTCAGTAAAGGGTTCCGCTGTCAATATCTTTTGGCGAACGAA